GGGGTGGGGATGGAACTGGTGAGGACATGGGGAATAGGGTGTGGAAAATTGAAAAAGGATTGGAAAAAGTTCTCCCTCCTTTTGGCGGGGAAAACATTTCTTCCAATTGGAGGAAAATGAGTTCATGAGAAAAATATTTTCCAAAACATTTGATCTAACCAAACATGGGAAAATTGGAAAACATAACATTTTCTGAAAAATGTTTTCCTTCATATCAAACACACCCTGAAACAGCACGTCAAAGATCCAAGTACACAAAACTCATTCTCCTCCATCACTTGGGACCAAAAACAGGTAGAAAATACTTTTATGTAAGCAATGAGTAGTAGGAGACACCTAAATTCCCCACTGGAAGGGAGATGGATGACGGGAGACGCCTAAATTAACACAAAAGCAAATCCGACTCCTTGCTATTGATAATGGAGGTCTACGAAACACAGATATTATATTTTAATTGGTGTTATCATATTTGTTCCATATAAGAAAAAGCAGGAGTCAATACATTCTTGAATCCTGGAAAATATTGGTCCAAGAAATTTGAAATTTGGGGTCCAATTAGAAATTTCTGCTTTTTATCAAGGTAAATGCAAACCTTACTCAAGAGCAACCCCTTTTAAGGGCCAAAATAAAGATACAAAAGAGAAAAGAAAACAAAGCCATGGCAAATATACACACTTCACAAATTGACCCCCAAAAGCAAATAAAGTCCCAACAAATTGGCCTAACTCATCTTCCCTTCTTCTTTTGGATCATAAAAAACGAAGCGGCACTTGGCTTTTTCCTTTCTTCAAAAAAATAAGATCAATGGAAGCTATGAGAGCAGCCCACAGCATAAGTTATTTACCTCATTGCTTTCCAAGCTACATGGGCGGCCAACGCCCTGTGGCAAGTCCCTTGGGAAGTAACACCGATTGACAGTAACCCATTTCTTTCCTGCTTTTATATCCTCCCACATAGCCTGGAAGGAATGGAAAAAGGTTTCTCCATGTGAACATCAAGGATACATATGAAAAGAGAGTGTTTATATGCTAGCAAGAATACCAAAGAAGTGAATTTGTAAGCAAGTACTGCCATAGACATCCATTTTATTGCTAGGAGTAAAACATTCCCTCCATTGCCCACTGGGAAAATAGTATTGCAAGAATCATAGCTGGTCCAAACATTTTAACTTTAGGAAAGAAGATCCCAGATTGACGCCACCACTCACGTGAATATATACATAAGCAAGGTATCTTTTGTGTATGCATGCATGACTGTAAATTTGCATCTATTCAAGGGCACTACGCCAACTTGGAGGCAAAAACAGGAAAACTTGCATTCAATAAATTAACATGCACAAATCAATGACAAAGTTCCATGAGGTGGCTTCAGATGCCACAGGTTACAGTCTCATTGGTGAACCTAGTCCATCCAGAATTTGGAGCAGTGATAACTCCATGCAGAGATAGGAACGATAATAAAGGGTAGCCCGGTGCACTAAGCTCCCGTCATGAGTGGGTTTGGGGGAAGGCCGGACCATATTGGGTCTATTGCACATAACCTTAACTTGCATTTCTGCAAGAGGTTGTTTCCACGGCTTAAACCCGTGACCTCCAAGTCACATGCGGCAGCAACTCTTGACATTGCACCAAGGCTCCCCTTCAAAGATAGTAACAACAATGCTCAGTACATTTTTACTTGAAAAGGACATAATATTGCAAACAATAACTTTTTTATAGGGAGATCGGTTAAAATTTAATGAACTCAAATCCTTACCACAAGCTTTGAAGGAATCAATCTCTCATCCTCAAACCGAATAAGAGCATATTCCTGAACATTGTATATGAACCCATTATGGCGACAAGATTGGTAATAATGTTTCTCATCTGCAACTTGAAGCACATTGCCAATCCAATCAACGGTATGAAAGAGGTCCGATGTAGAGCTAACACATTCAGTATCCCCATTACTGGCAATAGGAGTTTCGTCAGGATTTGTCCGTCCACCACCTTGATCTTCTCGTTTACATTCATCACTTGAACTATTAGCTAAACTTGCTCTAGCACTAGATTCCTTGGAATCACTAACCATGGACTGACTACCAGGAAACTGCTGGGAAGGTATCTCTATAGTATTTGCTAGTCGTGCATGGTCATTGGCCTGTAGGTGATTGAAGGGTTGTGAGAGATCACATGACTTGGAAACTGTTTCGCATTTTGCAGGAGGCAGAGTTTTCACCTCAACCACCTTCTCTTCCAAAGATCTATGAACCAATGGGTGAGCAGGAGGAGAGAGACAGTTATCACTGGAAGATACTGATAAATTATTTAAACTGTTTCCGGAAGTCAAATTAGTTGAATAGGTTGCGGAAGAAACTTTACTCTCCATATTTCCTTTAATGGACATATAATCAGCTCCCCCTATTCTTTTGTCATTTTCCATCTTTGGCCCAGATGGTAGATGGTTAAGATTATTTGTTATACCAATGGTAGTGGAATTCTGCAATGTAACATTTCCATTCCCCATAATGTTCAACTGACTAACCTTCTCTTTCGGACCAAAGCCTTTTCTATCTGGAGATGATTGAACCCCAGCTGCAATTGTAGGCATTTTAGAGGCGTTGATGTTCCGCATCACACGGCCATATTTAGGGGGCAGAGGCTTGCCATTGGTTATCGCCAAGCACTTTCCACAATGCCATTCCCCTCTAGGAATACTTTTTTGATTTGTTGTTTGAAGACATTTTAAGTGATAGCCTTTTTCACAAGCATCACAGACAAGTACATTGTCAACCTCATTTGTTGTTGACCTGCACATTTGGCAAGTCAAAGTCTTATTCATGTAATCACGGGATGGTGCAGTCCATGCAAGCCGCTCGGGAAGCAGGGGTTGTAAAAACTTCTGAACAAGCTTGCCAATCTCAGAATGAGTATTGCTCGGAGGAGGAGCCTGAATAGTGCTTGCGCCTTGTAAATGAGGGTATACGCTTGGTACATTTCCAGTTGTGCTCTGAGTAATAAATCGCCTAGATATTGTTTGTGGTACCATCGTTGACCTAACCTCAGCACCTCCCTCAACTTTAATAGTTGCATGTGGCGTCACCTTGTTATCTGCCCCAAGTTTTACTGAAGAAACTGATGCAGGTTGCACCGACCAAGTTGGAGTTCTGACAGTTGAATGATTGCCAGTAGCTGCTACATACCAATAAGCTTCAGAGGGTTCAGAATGAAAAGCCAATAGAAGGTCAAAATTCAAAGGAAAGCATTCACGAAGACAAAATGCTGGCAAAGCCAACTCCCATGTTGCATGACCAGAAAACTAGGTCTGTATATGTATTATTGAAAAGAAAAGGCGAACAGGTAGATTAGTTAGAGTAGAACGAAGGATGACCTAAGCTTCTAACAGAATGGTACTCAAAGGAGAACTCTGAACCTAGACGATAACCATGCTGATAATTAAGCATGTTCAACCTAATAATTCACCTAGCACTCTTTCTTACTTATTTGAAGCTAGAAGATGTTAAAGTGAAGCAATTGTACAATCTACACAAGCTATCCTCCATTCCTAACCTACACGTCATTTGGACAAGTTCCCCCTTTTTCTCGACAAGTCGGTAAAGCTCCGCATTGAAGGAATCACTTAACAAACTAGGATCCTAAAGAACCTTGAACATTTTAGATGAACACATATACGTTACCTTGAACTTGCAAAGTATGGGAAGATCCACTTGGTCGTCCATCCATTCGGAAATGTGGTCTTCCAACTCCGGGAGGTGCTGGTGAAGAAGAATCCCTTGCAAGATTACCAGAGACCACTCCATCGGAGATTGAAGGCCTGACCTCACTGGTAGGCAGCTGGCAGGGTAAAGATGCAGAACTTACAGGAGTTCCATGTCCCAAAGATGAAACAGGTTGGAAGCTTCCTGATGAATTTACCGTTTGACTTGGTTGAGGAAACATTTTAGTTTGTGATGCATTATGGCTTTCAGCTGCTGTACCCACTGCAGTTTGAGACCTTTGAGATGAATAGCTGGCAGAAGGTAGAGAAAATTCCTGTGTCTTTTCCATCTAAAAGCAGAAAGGAAAAAGATAAAAATGGAACTGGGTTAGACATACAAGAGGCAACTCAACAGGCTATCTTGACTTCATTTGGTTGTCTAGAAGCAGTATACTTGCTCCTCGTCAGATCCAATACTCCTAGCTGGCTACATTTTACAGCCGAAGGGCAACAAATTAACCAGAAAAAATCTACATGCACTTGATCTAACAATTATCCTTCAAAACTCAAATGCTAAAGACCTCCAAGCTTCAAATATGATCTTTTCGGGTGACCAAACACGAGCTATAAGTTCTTTTAGAATTTGTCTCATAAGACAATCATCCTCAAACAAGCAAACAATGCAAGCCACACTAAATGGCTAATACAATTTTTCCCATACGACAATCACCCTCAAACAAGCAAACAATGCAAACCAAACTAAAAGGCCAAATCAGTGGACGAACAAAAATTGTAACAAGGTAATTCAGAAAACATAACACTAAAAGTTTTCTTTATATAAAGGGGATTCAACAAGTTATATATACAAAAGAAAAAATGTCTTTTTACCAATATCGCAGTACAATTATCCGGCAAAGGAGATTGAATTGAACCCCTTTTTACCAGAAATAATTCAGCCACTGGCTAAATCCCGCGTATACAATAAATATATCATTCTTTTTTTTAGTGCCATGACTCAAATTGCAAGTGGAAAGCAAACATAACCTTTTATACCTTTCTTTTGGCGAGGAGTAGCTTCTCAGCAATAGATATTTTGGGAGGCCAAATTCCTAAACTCTGTTCCTTCAGCTTATTAAGCCCAAGATCCTCAATAACACCTCCAAAAGCATCACTCGGAAACACATCCTTGGGCCCAAATTTCAAGCACACCTCAGCCAATCTGTCCCTGGCCTCTGCCGCCATCTCCTTCTCAGCAGCAGTGGGACCCCTACTTCCCCTCATCTTCCCTAAAGCAGAGAGTACAAGCACCATCTCAGCCACTTCCTTCACATTCCTAATCATCATCATTCCCCGCCGCGCCTTCTTAGAAACCGGGATTTCGAATCCTCGATCGTCCGCTGGCCTTTTCTGATCAGATTCAATCCCAGCCGTTGAATCCATAGGGAAAGAATTTGAACGTGAGAACTGCGAGAAAGAGAGAAGTAAGAAGCCATGGAAAGGAACGAGGAGAGAATCAGAAACCCTAGAGAGAAGGGGAGAGAAATAGAGACTATATAACGTTAGAGAAATTTGAAAAAAATGGGGGATTAATAAGTAGGAAGAGTTAAAAATATACCTTATTAGCGGGTAATTGAGTCCCACTAACTGTTAGTGTGATGTAATTCGTTGTAAATGTATCAAAAACCCGCAGCTGAAAAACTTGCGTTTTTGCGCTTTAGAGAGAGAAACGTAGAGAGAGGCAAAGGAGAAGCCCGGGTTTTTGTAGTATATTACGAGTGATTGCACCGGTTTGGGCCAATCCTCTGCGAGTTTTTTTGATATTTTCTAAGAAATTTTGGACCTAAAATTAAAAACTCAAATCATAGCCAGGAGAGTGAAATGTAATATCCAGTAATTTATTATGTCAAAAACAATAAATCATTGGATTATTAATTATTACCAGCAAAAATAGGAGTATTAATTATTATAATTGTTACACGTAATGATGTCAAAAATATAGTCATTCAACATTATTATTCGTGAACAACGCATTTGTAGGTGAAATAAATATTTTGTGTTCATGAAAAAAAATTACATAATGTGAAAAAAAATAAGATAATGTTGAATAACCTCAATAGATTTCAATTAAATTACCATAAAAGCGAGTGTTTATTGTCTATTAATATTAAGCAAAGTTTACTCGTAATATAAAACTATATGTTTGATGTTTTCGCTGAAATTACAAAATACTCTAAAATGCTAGTACTTGATAAAGGTTTTATTGGATTGTAAGAGTAACTCATTGCATTCACGACCTCATACTGCTAAAGTTTAATATGTACTTTGATTTATCCATTTCCCCTTTCAAATTAAAATAGTTCCATGAGAATGAACATTTATTTAAAACTATACAGCAACAAAACAAAAGTCAAATTGAATTTTGAATATAATGCTACAAAAATGCAATAAATATGAGGCCACTTATTTTACTATTCGTGGTAGAACATTTACTTGCACGCATGAAAACGAAAAAGCATTTTCTAAAAGAAATTTCATATCGTTGATTTGCTATAAAATCGGTCTTCATCCCAAAAAAAAAAATCATAGTAGATGTTATTTCTTCATTCTTCCTGTATTTTAAGTTAATGTTATTATTTGAATCAAAAACATTACATGATATCCAAATATTCTCCTGAAAACTTTCACATTCTTCTGGAATACTCATGTTTTCATTCGTTAAAGTAAAAAAACAGCTATACAACCTTAACCAAAAAATAAAAAATAAAAAAAAATCTTGTACAAGCCTGTGTAGGCAATGGTATAAAGAGGATTTATATAGAAAACAAGAGAGAAGGATTTACAATAGCTATATGTGCAACATGCATATAGCAATTACAAACAAGAAACAAAAGAAAACACATCCTACACCTAGTTTACATTTGTCTATCAATGTGCAACTACATTTAATACAAGGTCTGATACAGTGGGAATGAGGGACTCACAACCATAGGAAGTAGGAACTAACTTATACTTAATTGTTTGACTGGTCCAACATCACTGCAAATCTTAATCCATGAATCACTGCACAGGATTTTAGCATTTTGAAGCATGTATCCATGAAACGTAGGCAGTGAATATCCTCTACTAAGTTTTAAATTTATGTATGGCAGTATCACAGTCCTCAGTGCAGTTGACATCAGTACCTACAAGAGTTTTAATGATTCGGGTCAGTTTTATCATATCACCTAAAGAAGGAACGTTAATATGTTATCACGGAATCATAACATGGTAAAACAATCTCCAAAGCTGATATAAATCGTAATGGGATGAAACAAATACTAGGGCCAATGCTTCAGCATTTACAGAGGGGCACTTGCTGGTCTAACTTACAGCACGTAAACATCAAACAAAATCACTTGACTAGCAGAGAGAACGCAAATCATCGGAAAGGGAGACTACAAATCGACTTTGAATCATCCATGACTGGTAAACACACACTATTCACTACTGAATGTATCATGCTAGCGCTGATGACATGTGACGAATACTACAATCTCAAAGTATATTGATAAGAACTAAAGGTCTATTACAATTACTAGTTGCCGAACCAACTCTCAAATTGCAGCTAACAATAGAAATACTGAATATAAGATAGTTGTGGATATAGGAGAAGATACACAAATAGAAGAAGGGAGATGAGAAGCTTAAACTCAGAGCAAGGAGATGAGAGGAACAGACATTTTCTTCTTCAACAATAGGCATATTCCCAAAATCTCAGACCACCGTCCCTTTTAACAAAACCATTACGCCCACTAATCCACCTGGATCCCAAATTAACCTGGCCCAATTATTTGTTCTCAGCCCAATAACTATTTGTATGACATTGGACTGGGGCTGATTCATAACAATATTCCCGTCCCCAATAAGAACCTTGTCCTCAAGGTTCGAGAGAGGAAACTCTGATGTTATAGTCACATGACAAGCCACCAGGTAGATAAAAGTCTCATACAATTGGATGCCAATAGATCCATCAAGAGCACAACTTGGATCACAAGGAAGTTTAGAAGCATTGGAAATATAATACAGCCAACAACATACATCTTTTCTAAAAATCAGCTTGTCATCATCTGAGAGTTTCTCATCGAAAGCTATAGCAAGTTCAAGCTTTCTAACTGTCTCCATTAACGTTGTTATAAATCTGGATTGCTGTAATAAATAATTAAACCATTAAACTTTCTAAAATATATAAACAAAAAAGAAAGTTAGTAATACTTGTTTAACGAAATAAATTCTGGAAAAACAGTATAGGAATAAATCGAGCTCACTGAATACACAGTGTGTCCTTAAGAAAATTATTCCCCTTAAGTACCCGAGGTGCTGGAATATATCCTCCCAGGATAGAACGATTTAACTCACCGGAGTGTTGGTACCAAACACGCCGGTGAACAGCGAGCCACTCGAAGGCTGTAAAACACACTGGAATTTTTGTGCAGAAGAAGAAGAAGAAGATCAGAAAATTTCGTAAGGAAAGATTCTGGGATTCAAAGTATATTTATAGAGTTGATGGCATTGTTTCCGAAAAGGTTTGCAACTTTTCAGAAACAACCATGGCTGTTGGAACAGGTTGTTTGAAATATTGCGGGAAAACGGATTTAAAATAATCCGGAAAAAAAAACGGGCCTGACCGGACCGGGTCGCGGGTCATGGGTTATTCCGGATTGAATTTTTCGTTAATTTTTAATTAATTAATTAATTAATTGAAAGAAATTTTGTCCAAAAAGATTAATCAATCAATCGATCTTTGACCAAATCCAAATCCGAAGCTGAAGCCGAAGCCGAAACCGAAGCCGAGCCGAGCGACGGCGGCGGCGCGAGGCTTGCCTTCTTCTTAACTCTTTAAGAGATAGAAGAAGAGCAATTATATATATACCCATCAAAAGCCTTTTCTTCCTCCGATATGGGACAATGTCCCTTTGCCAAGGGAAACTCAAATATTTTATTTTTCCTCCATTTCTCATTCACCCTCTTTAAGCTACACAAGCTTAAAATCCCAACAATCCCCCACATGAATGGGGAATGGCTATAAAATAAAGGAATGCACGGACGCGTGTGTGTTTTACATGCAAGAATTAATTGCATCTGGATAAGTAGGTTTCCCTTTGAACTTTCCGTAGTGAACTTATATCGGATATACTCGGTCAATCGGTAGATTTGATATCTTTGAACCGTCGAGCTTTGTTGTATACCTAGACAACATAAGTCACACAATCAATCCTTAACCATCTATGGTTCTCACGGTTGTGTTCGTTTCAGCCATGAACACCGCCTGGTTTCATGAGTGCTTAGAGAATGGGCCTTTACTTTCATTCCCCTTGAAGCGGCTTACACTTCACACTCACATAGGTGATTTCTAAACGTGTAATCCTATAGACACACTATCTGGTCATATCCTGCCAGACTTAGCAAATCATTAAAAAACCTTTAAGCTTTGTTGACTCATCAAAAAGCCTTAATGCTTTACCTCGATTTCTGAACATTGTCTTCATCACGAGAATGGGTTGAGTTATTTGACAATGTTGAACCGTCATTCATAACTTTGTTTGATCTCTTTGAACCTAGCTCGTGGGATCTCCAGTCTGCTAGGTAGAGTTACCGTCATGATGACTTGTCCTAGACCTTAACCCCATTCCCTTTGATGATCTTTCAACTGCCTCTCTAGATAGGCCTTTTGTAAGTGGATCCGACACGTTATCTCTTGACTTTATGTAGTCAATTGTGATAACACCACTAGAGAGTAGTTGTCTAACGGTATTGTGTCTCCGTCGTATATGATGAGATTTTCCGTTATACATAACGCTCCCTGCCCTGCCTATTGCCGCTTGACTATCACAATGTATACAAATAGGTGCCAAAGGTTTGGGCCAAAATGGAATATCTTCCAAGAAATTCCGGAGCCATTCAGCTTCTTCACCGGCCTTATCTAAAGCTATGAATTCAGATTCCATTGTAGAACGGGCGATGCACGTTTGTTTGGATGATTTCCAAGACACTGCTCCACCCCCAATTGTGAAAATATATCCACTCGTGGATTTAACTTCAGATGATCCAGTGATCCAATTTGCATCACTATATCCCTCGATCACGGAGGGATATTTGTTATAATGCAAAGCGTAATTTTGGGTATGTTTGAGATACCCCAAAACTCGTTTCATTGCCATCCAATGTATGTGATTGGGATTACTTGTAAACCGACTCAGTTTACTAATAGCACATGCTATATCTGGTCGTGTACAATTCATGATATACATCAAACTTCCCAATACTCTTGCATAATCCAGTTGTGAGTCACTTTCACCTTCATTCTTTTGAAGTGCATAACTCACGTCAATTGGAGTCTTGGCAATTTTGAAATCCAAATACTTGAACTTGTCAAGTACCTTTTCAATGTAGTGAGACTGTGATAATGCTAGACCTTGTGGAGTCTTGTGAATTCTGATTCCTAAGATCACATCAGCAACTCCTAAGTCTTTCATATCGAATTTGCTAGCCAACATGCGCTTAGTAGCATTTATATCTGCCATGTTTTTGCTCATTATCAACATGTCATCAACATATAAACAAACAATGACTTCATGACCTGGAGTGTTTTTAATGTAAACACATTTGTCGCACTCGTTGATTTTAAACCCACTTGCCAACATTGTTTGGTCAAATTTGGCATGCCATTGTTTGGGTGCTTGTTTAAGTCCATAAAGTGACTTAACAAGTT